CGAAACCCTTCGCCCCAAGTACCCCAAACCCGAAACCCTCAGCCCTAAACACTAAACGCCCTAAACACTGGTTGAACCCTAAACCCTAAACCCTAAACCCTAAACCCTAAACCCTGAACCCTGAACCCTAAACCCTCAGCCCTAAACCCTGAACCCTGAACCCTGAACCCTGAACCCTAAACCCTACTTTTTCCTTCGCCTTGCAGCTTCAGGTCCCTAGTTGCTCAGCTCTCGCAGGGAGAAAACATAGGTGATCGGCTACGGCTTAGGGTTCAGGGTTTAGGGTTTAGGGTTTAGGGTTCAGGGTTTAGGGTTCAGGGTTTAGGGTTCAGGGTTTAGGGTTTAGGGTTTAGGGTTCAGGGTTTTGGCTTGTGACAGGCGTTGCATGGAGAAAGTGTGCCATCGTGGTTTAATCCAAACGTAAAAGTAACGTGATCAGAACGTCACTGTGCCATGATGGTTTAATCCAAATGTAAGCATAATCTGAGCCAAACTTCGTTGTCCCTGGTCCTCTGTGGCAATACTCTGCAATGGTTCGGACACACCAGACAATGTCCAACTAGAATGTTAGTTGGCGCGCCGGGCGCTGTGACCAGCATTCGAGTCCCATGTGCAATAGTCGTAGTCGTAGTAGTCGTCGTCGTAGTAGTAGTCGTAGTCAAAACACACAGCACTGACGGCCAGATGCGTTTTGCCCTGGTTTGCAAAACAAAATGATTGGTTTGGGTTGCTTTTGGCTTGCTGACTTGGATGGATTTGGGGGGCTGTAGAAGGTACAGTTTGGGTTGCCCGTTTGATAGGATCCAGGTAGGAGCTCTCCCCCCAGAAGGGACAAATCTGCTGTGAGAAGCTGTCCGGCTTCTGTACTGGACGGCTTCTTTCCTGGACGCAGGTCTGCGTTCATGAACGCCTGCACGGGGCCGGGCGGGCCAGGGGCCCCCAACAATAACATCTTCTACAGCCATTGCAACCTGAGACAAGAATCCAGAGCCCTAGCCTAAACAACCACCCAAAAAAAACATGAAAAACCCTCCAACCCTAAACGCCGACCCTAAATCCCAAAGCCTCAAACCCCTAAACCCTTATATAAACGCTGACTCGTCGACCCTTTCTTTGTTGCTTCCTTAAACACGGAAACTCGCAGACCCTTTTCTGTTGTTGTCTCGGCCATTCCGAGGCAAAGCTTCGAAGAGCGCCGCGCCCGAGCCCCTCCGAGCCTTACTTCTCTTGGTGAGGAGACGCCTGGCGGCCTGGAAAGTAGGGTCCCGTTAAGGGTACTAGAGCGTTCCGTGTTCCATAATGGGATCCTCTTTGAAGGGTGCTAGAAGGGTTCTATAACAGGGTCCCTTTAGAGGTTTTCTTAAGGGTTCCTTTATAAGCGTGCTTGAGGGTGTAGGGTTAGGGACTTGGGATTTTCTCAAACTGCAGGGCTGTTAGGTGGATCCTTGTTGTAATGAGCTTTCGGGTGCATTGGGTGCTTTGGTTGGAGAGGTTGGGTGCAAAGGTGAACAACGGGTCCACCTCCATTGCACCAGCAAGATCATTCCGCAATGTAACGTGTTCTCATTATCTTGCATCACAAAAACCACCACATCTCAAACATTTTCCTGCAGCAGCCGTGGCAAGACAAGCGCCACATACACTCAGAGTGCATCACATGATGCAGCAGTTGCCTGCGCCGTTGTTCCATGTTGTGCTGCTGCACTGCAGAGAGTGTGCGAGGGCGTGAGCCAGGTCTCACAGTTGCTCAAGGAGCGGGTCGGCTCTTTCAGGTTCTGAGGTCCGGGATTAGGTTTTGAGGCTTGTCGCCTTCGGATCGCTTTTGCTGGTTCCTCCACCGCCTTGCCCTGCTCTTTTTCTCGTGTCCGTTCCTCCGTGAGAATGATGGAAGCTGTGGTGAATGCCAGAGCTGGCAGCAGCGCGTCGCTAGCAGCAGATATTGGAACCCGAGACCAAAAGCCAGAGAGATGCACTTCGAGCGTGCGTCAGTAACATCAGCAACGCGACATGCTCTGGGTGCCGTTGCGCAAAAACGACATCACTCACCGCAGCATTTTCCTGCAACAACCTTTGCAAGCCCAAAGGCGCAGAGTATGAAAGCCTTCGACAGACAGGCAGCGATAGAAGCGTTATAATATATTATACTATAACATAGTGACATAGTAGCAACACAATGTAACCAACATGATATACTATACTATGCTATACTATAATAATGTATAGCATACTACACTTCACTAAACTACAGTATGCTACATCATACCATACTTCACTATACTATACAATACTGTATAAAAAAACAAGTTAAGATAAGACGATATACTATTTTATAGCACGATATAACCCATTGTATTATAATGTAATAACAAGACAATATACAGTAACAAAATCAAGTACAGTACACGACGGTATACTAGAGTACAGTGTAATCTATCATCATATGTTACAATACAGTACATTGTAACGTAGTACAATACAACAAAATACAGTACAAAACACCACGCTGCAATACACCATAGCATAAGTAACATAACTGTAACATAACACAGTTTAAGATAACAGGATATAATGATATGAAATTAATATGATACAACATAATACAAAATAATATATCCTACTATAAAATATACTACAATATTACAAATATAATATAACCGACTGTAGTACAACATAATATAGTATGTTATTATATAATATAGTACAATATAATATAGCATGGTATACTGTTATACAATACAACATATCATATCACAGTATACATATATAACATATACTGCAAAAGACATAGTGTCTTTGTGAGTACGGGAGCGAAGAGTTTTGAGCTCCGAGCAGCCAAGGGTCGGTCTCGAGGGACCTGCGCTACGCCCGGGGCGCGCGGGCGACGAGGACCAGCGACCCAGCTGCAAGCGAGGGCAGTCGGAGAAGTCGGAGATCGCGACATTCCGCGACGTATCATGCTGTATCAGGTTCTAGTATGCCATTCGTATACCACCCAGAGAACCCAATACCCCTTAATTAAGGAAGATACCTTAAATCATAATATTAAGGCCCTTATAATTTAAGGTATATTCCGTAATTAAGGGGTATTGGGTTCTCTGGGCATAGTCATCTACTAGTCTAACGTGAGGTTCCCGCCGTCGCCTGATTTGACGGGCCGGGAGGCGCGAGTGGACCAGCGAGGAAGCCAGGACCCGAGACATCGGAAGAGCTCGGAAGTCAAGGTCCAAAACATGCTTTAACCTACCAACATGTACTTTTTTGGTAGGATCCCTATAAATTCCATATTAGGGTGTATTATAAGAGCCTTCAAAAAAGGTGGGTTTTGGGAGTTCAAGGTAGAGACTGCGACCTCGAAACTCGTGCCTTGACACCAAGCTCCGAACCACCCTAAACCGCAACCCTAAACTCCTAAGGTCCTAAACTCTAATTCTAAACCCTAAACCCTAAACCCTAAACCCTAAACCCTAAACCCTAAACCGCAATCCTAAACTCCTAAGGTCCTAAACCCTAATTCTAAACCCTAAACCCTAAACCCTAAACCCTAAACCCTAAACGCTAAACCCCCTCATTCATTGGGGTCGCTGCCTTCGTGGAGGAGCGGGGCTCATCGAGCGAAGGGAGCCAAAGGTCGAGGCCGAGCCCAAACCCTAAACCCAAAACCCTAAACCGGTTTAGGGTTTAGGGTTTAGGGTTTAGTATTTAGGGTCAGAGACTCCAATATCCCTTAATTCAGGAATATACCTTAAATCATATTAGGGATCCTACTATAATTTAAGGTATGTTCCTTAATTAAGGGATATTGGAGTCTCTGGGGGGTCTTGGTTTTGGCCGTCCTTCTTTTCTCCGTGTTGTCAAAGGAGCGACAACGACAACCCTTTGCGCCGCCGACGGAAGCGTTCGTTACCTGCGGATGTGAGGCGAGTGAGGTAGGCGACGTCTTTGAGTGGATTTTTTCGAGATTGTCTTTTGCAGACAGAGGCGGTGAATGCCTCAAAGTTTTTGACAAGTGCTCCCAGATCCGCTTTGCAAGCGAGGGAGATGCTCTGGACACGTGTGAGGCTTTGGATGGGTCCTTCGTAGAACGGAGTGGCACGCACAACGTGTCTTGCGCTTGCACCCAGCAGACAGCAGAGAGATAGAGAGATAGCCGGGTAGACGTATGTAGTGCAATTGTAGTGCACACATAGATACTTACAAACATACGACCAGGCGTGCTTCCCTTCTACCTTTGTTGAACGGTGGCCTCACAGTCGGGTGATTTCAGCGGAGCGGCGCACCCCAAGAAGCACGAAGGGCTTCGTCGTGTTGTGGTTAGCTTCGTCTAAACTTGTTGCAGGCAGCCTTTTCAGCTCTGCCACGTGTTCTGATTGCAGTCAGAGAGTTTCGGATTTCTGGGGTTGGGGTGTTCTGCGCAGTTCCGTCGCAGGGTGGCAGCACCTTGCTGCAGTTGGCTTCAGGAACCTACGTGCCGAACAGCTGAGCCAGAGACAGAACAACTTTGTTGGAAGTACTGAAGATTCTCCTTAAGGTTTCACTTTTCTTTGCTTTTCGCGGGAACAGCCAACCCAGAATCTCTCTCTCTCTCTCTGCTCTCTCTCTCTCTCTCTCTCTCTCTCTCGAAACCGGAAGGGCCCGAGCAGAAAGAACAAGCTATCCCGGTAGAACTGAAGATATCTCGATCACGCAGCCTGACCCCGTTCACAATCCACCATGTCTCCACACCGGCTTTGCCGGCCCATGACTTGCATAGCACCCAGAGACTCCAATATCCCTTAGTTAAGGAATATACTTTAAATTATAGTAGGATCCCTAATATGATTGAAGGTATATTCCTTAGTTAAGGAATGTTGGAGTCTCTGGGCAATGCACTGTGAGAGTGCAGCGGCTCACATGGCGGTGCAGGTGTAGTGGCTCACAGCGGGATCACCGTGGCGTTTCGAGGCCCCCAAGCCATGGCCCACCAGTCGGCACTGGCGTTTGGGAGCGACGATGTGGCTTTGGCCTGTGCGACCTGCGTGGCCCTGGTGTTGGCGCACTGGCATGCGACGAAGGCGCACGTTGCCCTCCCCTCCCCCATGGCCTCAAGCCTTGCTGCTTGAGCTGGCAGGCGGACTTGAAGTCCGGGCTGTCGCAGCTCCTCCACTTCGCGGAAGACTGGGCCGGAGCCTTGTGTGGCCTCTGCATCGGGGCATCGGGGAGCGCAGTTTGTGCAGGTTGGCGGGAAGGGCTCGGGTCTCAGCCCCATGGCGGCCCGCGTCGAGGAGGAGAGCAGGGCTTTCCGAGAGACTTTCCGGGTCTGAGGGGTTTTTCACCCTAAACCCTAAACCCTAAACCCTAAACCCTAAACCCCTATACTGTAGGACAATGACGTTTGCGGGGCAGGGGCGAAGCTTTGGCAGATCTAGCTGTGATTTTGTCAGCGTAGGTTCGCATCCACAGTTGCATGTTGGAGATGTCATGTGATGGTGTGCATACACAGGTTTTCAGGCAACGCTTCGAGTCCACTTGGAAACGTCTGTGCTTGATTTTCAGGCTGTCGCGATGCAGTTACGCGGCAAGTCTGAGGTCGCATGCTTAAGACAGGGGTTTAGGGTTTAGGTCTAGGGGAGTGTTTCAAGTCTAAGTTGGATCTCATGTTCCGGAACTAAGCACAGTTCTGGGGCCCGCCACGTGACGGCACAACTCGTTGGGTGATCTCTGAGCCCTTGCGTTGGGCATATCATACTCCAAGTTGTAGCATCTCCGCCATGAGCCTCTGGAATGTGATGCAGCATACACTCGCCAGGAGCTGAAGCGTGTGCGCTTGAAGATGTTAATGCTCTTCTTCCGGCTTATCGTTCATTTAATGCTTGTTACGACCCTCTTCGAAACCTTCGAATTCATCCGTGCACCCCGGCTGCAAGGGGCGATCCGCTGGGTCATCGGCGTATGTATATATCTAATGATCGGCCTTCTCAACACAAACCGCTGGCCTCTCACGCCTTCGCTCCTGGTCTCCTTGCGGATGGTAATCTGGATGTTGGTGCTGGTTCTCCTCGGGGTGAGTGGCTCCGACCAGAATGACATATTGGCGCGGCACGGTTTGTGCCAGGCAAGTCAGCTTCTACAGACAATCATCTTTCCCGTTGGCACCATGACCATGTTGCAGACTGCATCCTACTTTGTTGTTGACACCTGGGCCAAGTGGCAGGTGTTCGACGTGCTAAATCCACGGCTGATAATGGCTGCATGTGTCCAGGCTTTAGTATACATGGCCATACCACTCTTTCTGGAGTTCGCTCTTCGGGAGTGGATTGCGGCATCGCTTCAGTCGAAAGACTCCGACTCCTTGATTGGGGGCTTTCGGCAGATGCTGAAGGGAATCTGTGACGGGGAGCTGCTACTGGACGGCAACTTCCAGATCTGCGGCAAAGCACCGTGCCTGCAACGGCTCCTGTCAAGCAGCGAGGACTTTGCCGGGCGCAGCTTTCGGGACGTTTTGGTCGATGATGAGGCGAGGAAGGCGTTCGATGACTTCCTGGCACCGGCCGTAGCCACCAGCGATGCGGACGAAGGCGCAGAGGGCGGCCAGCGACAGCTCTTGCAAACCAGCGCAGGCGCAGCCCCGCGCTGCCTGCGCGTGCCTCTGCGGACCCCTTATGGTCAGGCGATTTCGGTTGATGTCTTTCACGTCTCGCTGCCGTCCAGTCTCTACGGCGAGAGCACCAGCTACCACCTGCAGCTTGGTTGCGCCATGTTGCGCCGTGTCGGATGTCTGGTGCGTCTGATGCAGTGAAGTGCTAAGGCTTGCCCTGAAAGGGGATGTTGATTTCATGCCGCCCCCAGAAGCACCTCTCTTGCAATGTGGGGTCTCTTCCTGCTTAGCCTATAATGACTTTTGGCGGATATAGTGACGTCTGGCTGAGGCGGACCCCACGCAGAATGCAGCCTGGCTGGAAGTCGCCTTAAGGGCTTCGGTCCTTCTGCTTTCCCACCCGCCCAGAGACTCCAATCCTTTAATTAATTAAGGAATATACTTTAAGTTATAGTAGGCTCCCTAATATGATTGAAGGTATATTCCTTAGTTAAGGGATATTGGAGTCTCCGGGCTCTCCGGGCCCTCCGGCACCAGGTGCTTCCCAGCAGCCTCCTGGCCTCCAGGCGGCCGCCGTCGGCGCGCTCCGCCGCCAGCAACGCCGCTTGGACAGGATGCAAAGGCGGCCAAGTGAACTGACCTCCCCCGACCCCCTTGGCAAGACTACCCCGCATCCTCCTTTTGACACGTCAGAGATGGGACACGGCGAAGGCTTCTGGATCAATGGGTTCTGGGTAAAGTTTTTGAGTCTAGAGCCGAAGGCGCAGATGAGACTTTTGCCGTCGGCATTTCTCAAACTTTTGCTTGCAAAGCTTGAGCAAGATCGAAGACTGCTTAGCAAGGAGTCTTACGAAGAGTGCTACGACGAGCTCGCGGAGATCACGTTGCTGGTGAACGCGAGCACGGCGCTGATGGACATCGAGGAAGCTCACTTGCGATTCGTGCCTTGGCCACATGTCTCTCGCAAGGTTAGTTGGCTCCTCTTGTCTGGTGTCCCAGGTGCGCAAGACCAACAAGTCCAAGGCATGCGTTGACCCTGTTTCAGGCCGCAACGTGTCCAGATTGTGCCGGGGGTGTTGTGGAGGTGCGGATGGGCATGCCGACCCTGAAGCGCTTTGCGCGGCCACTGGACTGGGCCGGCATCGATGCCGTCCTGCGCCGTTACGCACGGAAGGTGCGCAAAGCCCACGCCGAGGGCAAGGAGGCCCGACCCCTTCTCGAGATCAGATTCCGGCTGAAAGCATCCGTGGTCAGGTGTTGGAGGAGGACGAGCAGGCCATGGGGCGGGGTCGGTGCAGCTCCCTCAACCTGGATGTAACTGCTTTGAATGGAGCGTGCTATAACAAGCCGCTCGGCCTCTCTCTGCAGGCGTTGTCGTCGATGACGCTGCGTGTGCCCGGCGAGTCGAGGAAGCACCTCCGCTC